ATATATATATTTCTGTTCTTGTTTAAGTTGTTGTACATCTGCACTTCATTTAATGATATAATATAAAATTGTAGGCATGCTAAATATTAATGAAAAGCCTTGGATATACTAATTGTATAAATTGTGGATATAAAAACAATCTAACTGTGCATAAAGACAGTTATTTATTTGTTTCCTGGTGGGAAGATGAAGAGGGCAGTGGAAGGAATTATAAGGAATCTAAGGCAGAAAGTCAGGAAGCAAAAAAGTGAATTTGTTGCAAATAGGAATTTGACTACAGAGCAAACACTGAGTAGCAGACAGACAGTGACAGGGGATCTCACATTTGCAACCTCCAAATGCCCCTGAGAACAATGCTCTCAGCAATGAATAAATTTGTAGAAACACTCCCACTCCGGTGTTCTCGCCACAGAGAAGGAAATATGATAACCCGAGTTTCATGACACAGAAGGAAATAAGAAAACCCATGTCCTTATCATAGAGAAGGAATTATGACAACCGCTGTAGGAAGGTCTGACCCTGCACAAGAAACTCATCAGGGAAGAGCCAGCTCCACCCCAGACAGTGGGACAGACGGCGTTATTGTGTAGGAAGAAAACTGTGTGTGAAGCCATTGCATTTCACGTTCACACTGAGGAGACATGCCTGTATATGCACACAGCATGCTCTGTTCACAGACACAGAGAGAACTAAGTGGAACATGGTGAACCCTTAAAAAGGGAAAGCTGCATCTGGAACTGCCACACTGTGTCACTTCCTGAAACTGACATCATTGTCTTTGATGTCTCACATCTGCTCTGAGCACTGCCCAACTGCAGAGCCTGCAATAGCAGGAAGACATGCAAATGAGGCTTCTCTGTGCCCATGAAAACCTGCCCTTCCCTGACCCTGAAGTCTGGCAGAGGAGCCCAGCTCTGGATTCCCAGGTCCTCCCATTCTGTGATGAGCACTGATCACAGGCCACACACCATGGACTTGGGGTTTATTTGGTTTTACCTTGTTTTTACTATAAAAGGTAATTAGTGGATAGGAGATACTATGGGTTTTGTAGACATAGGAAAGTAAAAATAGCTTCTGTGTCTCTGGGCTGACCAGAATTTATTGTGTTTGCAGGTATGCAGTGTAAGGTGCAGCTGGTGGAGTCTGGAGGAGGGTTAGTGCAGCATGGGAAGTCCCAGAAACTCTCCTGTGCGGCCTCTGGATTCACTTTCAGTAGCTATGCCATGAACTGGGTCCGCCGGGCTCCAGGGAAGGGGCTGGAGTGGGTCGCATATATTAATGCTGACAGTAGTTACATTTACTATGCTAACGCTGTTAAGGGCAGATTCACCATCTCCAGAGACAATTCCAAGAACTCCATGAATCTGCAAATGAACGACCTCAAGTTTGAGGACAAGCCATGTATTGCTGTGGAAGAGACACAGTGAGTGAATGCTACTGAGGCAAACGGGGCTGGGCAGTTCTGTGTCCTGACTGCCCCTCAATATCACAGTTGAGGATGAAGGAGAGTGAGAAGGAGACAGGGGAGACAGTGAGTAAGGAAACGGGACGGTTGGCATGGAGACAGGGAAGGAGGGGAGGAGAGAAAGGATAGAAAGACATGAGAGAAGGAGGGATAGAAAGGGTCATCAGGAGAGAGAAGCTGAGGAGGGAGGGTAGCAGGTGTGACTGAATCATGGATTCTTTTGGATCAGCCTTATTCTACCTAAATCTTCATAAAGCGTCTACTGCAATAAATTCCCCTTCGCTGTTTCAAGGGAAATATTCCCCACTTCTTTCCTCAAAGGAAATTGTGACATTACAATTTTGCTAACATGCCAACAGGGGATTACCTACAGGCCTACTGGTTGTGGATTTTTTTAACTGAGGCATTCATTTCCACGAAAGCATAGCTTTGACTGCTTTGACAAAATTCAAACCACCACACGAACAGTCTTGTACAGTCACTGTATCATGATCATCAGCAGAGTGTCCATGAGTCCACTAGAGAGAAGTTAACACATGACTGAAGACATGCAAGTATAAGAACTTACCTCTGAAACAGAAGATCATTGTGAGTAATGGGCAGCTTCACCCAGAATGCATTCCTTTTGAGTGTGAATATTCTTAGTGACTGCCTTCTCATGGAGAAGGAAATCTCACAACGAACCACAAAATGTGAACCCTAATTATTACTTACGTCATGAAAGACAAAAATTCTTGAGTAAGGGAGTCTCATACCATTTCTCCAAAATGATAGGAAAAAACCGCAATCATTCTTGTGATTTTGTAAGATCCTATAAGAACAATGAAAAATCAGGCAACCCCAAGATGAGACTCATTGAACATAAGGTGTGAAAAATACTCTCAACAACAGGACAACGTGAAAAAGCAGGACACAGCAGACATAGTGGAGGGTGCCCATCAGAACCTACACAGGAGGCGGCTCCCCAATGTTCAGACCTGTCTCCACAGCCACCACTCACAGCACAGAGTGTGCACACAGGAGTAAGGGATGCAATCTATGGGGTGTCGACTGAGAAAGAAGCAGTGGATGTTCACTGGGAGCTACTGAACAGGTTGTTTTGAACTATTCTCTTCCATTTACTGATTATATAAATTACAGAGGCATGAAGAAAAGCCCACAATCCCTTGTTCTCTGTGCTGATCCTCACATAAAGCAACCAGTTCTCCTTGTTCAAGAATGCTCTCTCTCTCTCTCTCTATTTCCAGTCATATCTTAGGGTTCTCTCTTTTTATTACAAATGTAATCCAAAGACTAATCTGTATTTTCCCCCAAGAGATATTTTTAATTAGTTCAAATTAGAAACATGCCAGGTTCACATGTCAATCTATCTCCCTCTCCCTTCCCCCAAACTCTCTGCCAGCTTTCCTCCTTATACCCCCACTGCTCCTAAGGGAGGGGAAGGCCCTTCATGGAGGTTTGCCAAAGTCTGTCATATCATCCTGGCAGGGCCTAGGCCCTCCCCCATGTGTGCAGGCTGAATGCATCCCTCCAAATTGGATGGGCTCCTCTTATGCCATGGGATAAATACTGATCCACTATCAGGGCCGCCATAGAGTTCATAGGCCTCCTTATTGACATCCTCATTCAGGGGTCTGGATAAGTCATGTGCTGGCCTCCCAGATGTCAGTCTATGGTCCATAAATTCCCTCTTGTTCAGGTCAGAAGTTTCTGTGGGTTTCACCTGCTTGGTCTCAACCTCTTTGCTCTTCGCTCCTCCCTCTCTGCAAATGGGTTCCAGAGTTCAGTTCAGTGTTTAGCTGTGGCTGTCTGCCTCTGCTTCCATCATGCATTAAATGAGGGAGCTAGGATGGCATGTAAAGAAGTCATCAGGCTCATTATAGGGGAAGAGCATTTAGGGGAGCCTCTCCACCATTGCCTAGATTGTCATTTGGTGTCATCCTTGTAGATCTCTGGAAATCTCCCTAGTGCCAGATCTCTCCTCGAACCTATAGTGGCTCCCTATGATATGGTATCTCTCATCCTGCTCTCCTCCATTCTTCCCCGACTCAATCTTCCTGCTCCTCCATTTCCTCCTCTCCCCACCTCTTCTCCCCCTCTCCTTCTCCCAGCTCCTTCCCCCCTCCATTCATACTCCCAATTATCTCACCAGTTCCTGCCCCTTCCCATTCTCAGGGGTCCATGAATTCTTCTCTTAGAGTCCTTCTTGTTTCCCAGTTCCTTTGGTGAGGAAGATTGCAGGCTGGCAATCCTTTGCTCCATGGCTAAAAATCATATATGAGTGAGTACATACCATGTTTGTCTTTTTGTGACTGGGTTACCTCACTCAGGATGGTTTTGTCTAGTTCCATTAATTTCAAGATTCTGTTAATTTTCCATTAATTCCATTAGCATCAGCATCACCAGAGACCCATCCAAGCGTCAAGTTGTCATTAAACTGAACAATCTGCAAATTGAGGACACTGCCCTGTATTATTGTGCCAGAGACACAGTGAGAGAAATCCAGTGTCAGCCTGCACAAAATCCTCACTGCAGGGATAGTCATGACCAACAGGGGGAGCAGAGGACCAAAACGGAATCCAAGGACCAGTATGGGTTGCTTCAGGAGTTAGGAAGTATTAAACTATGCTGCATGAACACTTGCTTTAATTTTAGAACCTATGGTGTCCACTAGAGATCCCTCTTGACCCTTGTAGCCTTATAAACTTGGTATTTTTACATGCACTAGAACCAATGGATTTTCCCCACAAACTAAGTCATAAATTATTATCTTGTTGTCAGAAAGGTTGACATATAATTTATGGTGATATATATATATATATATATATATATATATATATATGTGTGTGTGTGTGTGTGTGTGTGTGTGTGTGTGTGTGTGTGTATAAAATCTGTTTAAAACAATTTA